CGCGATTGACAGCTGGCTCTGCCTATCTGGAGGCAGAGCCAGCTGTACCCGCCCCCTCCCCCGTCCGTTCTGCCAGTCAGCGCTGGAGGATCAGAGCAGGGAGGGGGGAATCACTGCAGGGAGCCGTGAGTGACAGTCACGGCTCTCTGCAGGGACATGATGGAGAAGTGAGCGAACAGCGGTATGTGTTCGCTCACTTCCCGGTCTATTGAGCCGACGTGTGACAGTCCCATTGTCACAGGTCGGCTAGAACTATGAGGATGAGTGTAAATCATTCACCTCATAGTTCTCCTTTTAAGGGCTTTTTGATGTAGGTGCTTGCCCCTTTTTGCAGGTAGAAAAGGCAGATGGCTACAAGGGAAGGGGAGGTTGGGATTATGGGGGATAAGAAGGTTGTAAAGGAAAGCTGTATGGAGTAATACACAGAAGAAAGAAATTATGGTGGGATAGGTAGATGTGTAGGAGAGCAGTGATTTACCCTGATGGGGAAGTGTCTGGGGTTGGGGGGAGGGGAGGAACAGTCATTTTATTTTAATTAAAAGTTAAGTTTCAGGTCCTTGGGTGCGCTGAGTTGGTTGAGACACATTCCTCTGCAATATTGCGATCTCTTTGGAACTAATTCTGGCATGTGAAGCCAATGATGCTGTGCAGGCTGCACATGGATATATGGCTGGGTTTGGCAAACGCCCAAGCGAACGGAATCCAGGCCAGTTCACTCATCACATTTGTTCCTTTGCCGCGCACTACCACATGCACTTTCATTTCGAATAGACTGCCAATGCAGAGCAATGGAATCAAAGCTGGACTGGCAGTGTAGGTCCATAACTGATGACTGTATTATGGATGGGGGGGCATTCTAAATGAATGGCACAGCAATGCACACACGTTGGGTTTTTTTTAACCTCAGAACACATGTGTGAGCCTGGAGGCCATGCGCCATTTGCGAACGGTAAGGAAAAGATGGAGGCATTGACAGAAGTGCAGCCCTGGGGTCTACGGCACCTCTTGCGCTTACATCCGAAGCAGACTAAAAGTACAGCAGGAGCTCTATTAATCCCGGCATGCAATCTAATGGCTTTGCAGGATGTAGAAGTATGCCTGCATGACGGCGATTGGCTTTTGTGGAGCAGGAGTCTTCTGCTGCTAAAAATCTGTTAAGGTAATTATCCCCCCGGAGTTGGCCTTTAAAATAGAGACACTTAAAGGTGTGTAAAATGCAGTATACAGGTTTGAAATGAATAGCTGGGTTTCTGCTGTTGAAATTTGGATGGCAATTTGATTTCAATTTAAGATTTTCTGTATCCGCAGGAGATGAACGCGGTCCTGAGAAGCATGCTTTCAGCGGACACTGTCCTTCCTTCTGGAGCGTGGCTACTTTTTTTCCCCATGGCCCCTGTGTGTGTTGTAATGTAGTCACTGCTCCAAGCTCGCTCCTGTGATGGACTACAATCTCACATTTGGTTTACTAATTTGTATTGGGATTGTAGTCCATCACGGGAGTGAGCTTGGAGCGGTGGCTACTTTACAACACACACAGGGACCATGGGGAGCAAATGTACCCCCCCTCCAGCAGGAAGGACAGTGTCAGCACCAATTCAGAGATGATTTGAGGATCTACAGCCGAGTGATACACAAAGCATGGAGGCGGCTTCCCGGCCAATCAGGAAGCTGGGCAGCATGTAATGATTCGCTGCCCGGCTTCCTGATACCGGAAGCTCAAGTATCAAAGCATTTGGGCGAGTAAGAGTACTTGCCCAAATACTCGGCATCGGCACCGATACCTATACTAGTATCGGTATCGGTGTATCCTTACTTAAAGTGACATTAAAGTCAAAGTTTTTCCCTCCCCCCATGTTAATGTTAGCACTTACCTTTAAATGAGGTTTCTTAATCCGATCTTCTTCTTTCCTGATGTTTTCATCTGTCCCTCCAGCGGTGCGGCGGCTCTCCGATCCAGCGCTGACTCCTCTCTGCTTACAGGCACTTCTGATCCCACGGTGTCTGGATGCGGGTGCACGCGTTCAGAGACTTACCTTGCGTCTCTGCTCGTCTCCCGCCCGAGAATTCGAACTGCGCATGCTCCAGCCCCAAGATGCTTTGCGGCCGCCCGAACAGTTTCGGATTTTTGGGCGGGAGCGTGCAATGAAAACAGGGTAAGTTTAAACCGCTGTTAAATCGTTTTTTAAAAAAAAAAAACGTTTTGCCTATATCTACTGCCTGCTAGCAGTAGATATAGACAAAAAAAACGGAGGGTTTAGAAACCCTTTAAGGAAATTCATTAGCATCATCAATGTTAAAGTGACACTAAACTCAGGAGTTGAATCTTAAAAATGCATTCAAGTACCTTTTAAATATTAGCAATAATGTATCTTATTAGTGTATCACTCGGCTGTAGATCCTCCAATCATCTCTGAATTGGTGCTGACACTGTCCTTCCTTTTGGAGGGGGGCTACTTTTATTCCCCATGGTCCCTGTGTGTGTCGCAAAGAAGTCACCGCTCCGAGCTCGCTCCCTCCCTATAACTTCAATACAAATTCATAAACCAAACATGAGATTATAGTCCATTACGGGAATTTTTCCCTAGTCCACAAAGCTGATCAGATCTCTAAATATAAACTATGAAGGATTTGGACATCGGGAAAGCTGCAGATGTAAAAATAGACTGATGAGTTAATCTAGGAGCCCAGAATAAGTTATGCCTGGGAGTGGTCTGGAATGTCTCAGCCCTAAAGGAATAATGGATCTGACCTCTTATGCCCCTTCCTGGGGCTCTGAAGTTAGAATTGCCACTGGTAATAATGGGTTTTGTTGCCAGTGAAAAAGACCATAAGGCGTATTTCTGCTTCATTGCAACTGACTTTACTACCCAACACTTGCATGAACCCACCTCCGTTATCAGTGGCATCACTAGGGGGGTGTGGCCCACACCGGGGGAAACCATTGGAGAAGGTGACACCTTTTTGTCTCACCCCTCCCTCTGAAAAGTCAGGCACTCCAGTCATGGACTGAGAGTCCAACAGCTGCACCAGATAGGAGGGGAACTGACGGCATTGCTTATCCTGCCTGGTGAACGTCCCCTCCTCTCTGCCAGCGTCCATCACCAAAATGCCTCTGTTTGCCTGAGGACAGGACCGCATGGTCTCGAAACGTCGCTAAGGAGATGTGTGTTATCTCAGTCAATAAACAGCATTGACTACTGCACCCACCCAGTTGGATTTGGGTTTTTGTCCGGTCAGGAGTGCGATGGGACAGGAGGATTAAGCATCACCAAAATGGGCGCTGGCAGCTAAGCGCCCATGTGTGATGGTGTCCCAGTGAGGTGTCACCCGGTTGCTGCTCCGGGTGACACCATACCTCGGGACACCCCCGTCCATTATTCTTTACCACACAATATGGTGTGTTCGTGTTCTGTGTTGTTAGCACTATGCCTGTGAAGGTTCTCATTCATCCAGGTCATGATATATCTGTAAAAAATAAGTCAAGGCAACTTCCTGTATTTTTCTTGAAGACGTTTCACTGGTCATCCAACCAACTTTCTCAATTCAATGTAATTTTGAATTGAGAAAGCTGGCTGGATGACCGGTCAAACGTCTTCAAGAAAAATACAGCAAGTTCAGTTGCCTTGACTTATTTTTTACAGATATTTGTATTTTTAGGTTTTGCTTTTTTGTTTTTTTGTTTTAGGGATGTGTTTTGGGTTAGGGCTGACCATGAGTCTGACTGAAACCCAAGCTGCTTGCACTTTGAACAGGTATTTTCTTATTTTTTCAGATTTATTTTGAGCTCAAGGAGAACAACACAAACACTGTACAGCCAATCCAAATGTTACAGGCCTTGCTCAGAACACTGTTATACTTTCAGAACCGAAGTAGCTCTCATCATCTCATGCATATAGCAAATATGGCTGTTAAAGGAGAACTATGGGGTAAGTGTTTTCCCCATAGTTCTCCTAAGGGTCATGGGAAGACACAAACTAGCGTCCTCCCATGACCCAAAGCTCAGTATACTGCGAGCTACAGCTCGCGGTATACTGAGTCCGCCGCAGCTGGGACGGATCACGACATTACTGTCGAGACCCACCCAGCTGCGCGATTGACAGCTGGCTCTGCCTATCTGGAGGCAGAGCCAGCTGTACCCGCCCCCTCCCCCGTCCGTTCTGCCAGTCAGCGCGGGAGGATCAGAGCAGGGAGGGGGGAATCACTGCAGGGAGCCGTGAGTGACAGTCACGGCTCTCTGCAGGGACATGATGGAGAAGTGAGCGAACAGCGGTATGTGTTCGCTCACTTCCCGGTCTATTGAGCCGACGTGTGACAGTCCCATTGTCACAGGTCGGCTAGAACTATGAGGATGAGTGTAAATCATTCACCTCATAGTTCTCCTTTTAAGGGCTTTTTGATGTAGGTGCTTGCCCCTTTTTGCAGGTAGAAAAGGCAGATGGCTACAAGGGAAGGGGAGGTTGGGATTATGGGGGATAAGAAGGTTGTAAAGGAAAGCTGTATGGAGTAATACACAGAAGAAAGAAATTATGGTGGGATAGGTAGATGTGTAGGAGAGCAGTGATTTACCCTGATGGGGAAGTGTCTGGGGTTGGGGGGAGGGGAGGAACAGTCATTTTATTTTAATTAAAAGTTAAGTTTCAGGTCCTTGGGTGCGCTGAGTTGGTTGAGACACATTCCTCTGCAATATTGCGATCTCTTTGGAACTAATTCTGGCATGTGAAGCCAATGATGCTGTGCAGGCTGCACATGGATATATGGCTGGGTTTGGCAAACGCCCAAGCGAACGGAATCCAGGCCAGTTCACTCATCACATTTGTTCCTTTGCCGCGCACTACCACATGCACTTTCATTTCGAATAGACTGCCAATGCAGAGCAATGGAATCAAAGCTGGACTGGCAGTGTAGGTCCATAACTGATGACTGTATTATGGATGGGGGGGCATTCTAAATGAATGGCACAGCAATGCACACACGTTGGGTTTTTTTTAACCTCAGAACACATGTGTGAGCCTGGAGGCCATGCGCCATTTGCGAACGGTAAGGAAAAGATGGAGGCATTGACAGAAGTGCAGCCCTGGGGTCTACGGCACCTCTTGCGCTTACATCCGAAGCAGACTAAAAGTACAGCAGGAGCTCTATTAATCCCGGCATGCAATCTAATGGCTTTGCAGGATGTAGAAGTATGCCTGCATGACGGCGATTGGCTTTTGTGGAGCAGGAGTCTTCTGCTGCTAAAAATCTGTTAAGGTAATTATCCCCCCGGAGTTGGCCTTTAAAATAGAGACACTTAAAGGTGTGTAAAATGCAGTATACAGGTTTGAAATGAATAGCTGGGTTTCTGCTGTTGAAATTTGGATGGCAATTTGATTTCAATTTAAGATTTTCTGTATCCGCAGGAGATGAACGCGGTCCTGAGAAGCATGCTTTCAGAGTGGTTCTCTGTCGGGTTCCTCCACTTGGAGAGAATTACGTGGCAGTCCCCTTGCGACGTCCTGCAGAAGATCAGCGAGTAAGTGCACCTCCTGCAGATGAGCACTCTAGGCTTTTTAAATTTCTTTCTTGTAATTTTTGTTTTTGCTTGCCGATAGTGAGGAAAGGTTAAGACCCTGGTGCCCAACCTGTCGCCCAAGGGCCAGATCTGGCCCACTCATGTAGGAGATCTGGCCCTTTGGTACTTGTGGGGCCTTCAAACCCCAGCAGTCTGTAGTGGGAACAAGATCATTGATTGTAGTGATACTAGCAATGATTTCTGCTAGACCAGGGGTCTCAAACCTCCGGCCCTCCAGCTGTGGTGGAACTACAAATCCCATGAGGCATTGCAAGATTCTCATAGCCACAGACATGACTCCCGAAGAGATCATGGGATTGCATCATAGGATTTGTAGTTCCACCACAGCTGGAGGGTCGGAGGTTTGAGACCCCTGGGCTAGACTCATGTAATGGGCCCCAAGTCTCTCACTGTGGCTCCTGAATTCCTTATTAATGAGTCCACCCCTGTATAAAGGAAATAATGGTCAGACAGTATGGACATGCTACAGGTATGGCTGGAGACTTGACGTTGACGAGAACTAGCGGAAACCTCAAAAGTTAGGCACCAGCTGTAATTTTTAAGGAGCATTGGTGACCTGGATCCTGGTTTATCATATCTGCAGTCTCTGACAGTCTTTTCTAGCATTACATATACTCAGTATTGTGTGCTGCCCTTTGGGGATGTCAAATGTGGCCCTTGGGTCTGCATTTGAGGCCTCTAGTACCTCATAGGTTTTATTGCTGCCTGTACCAATGTTGGAGAGAATTCTCCTCACTTCCTGTGTGGTCAAAGGGACAGGATATTGGGGGGGGGGGGGGGGGGGGGGGGACGTACAGCCGCGTAGGGAATACAGTGAGGGTTAGTGTTAGGAGTACAGGGAGTATTAGTGTTAGTGTTTCAGGGAAGATTAGGGTTATGGTTTCAGTGAGGGTCAGTGTTAGAGTCACAGTGATTGTTAGTATAAGGGTTCCTCAGGTTGGGGCTTCTTTTTCTGCATTGAAAACTGACGGAGAGGGAACACAAGGCACACAATCAATAAAAACCCGACAGAGGTTCTAATAATTTCTCACTCTGTGGGAATTGTGGGACTTTCCCACATCTGTGGGAAAAACAATTGTTTTTGAACTCAAAGTGTCCGTTTCTAGTTTTGGATAGAGTCTAAAACTGTTATCTGGGACTCTGTTAGAGAGATTTCTTCTCACTTCCATTCCTGCTGACGTTGGGTTTAATCGGACAGGAAGTGAAGAAGAATCTGAGACCGACATAAAAATCTGAGAGCGGGTTCTGGGCTTCCCCCTACTCTACTATAGAAAAGCATTTTTATTTCTGTTTTGTGGGTTTTTGAAGGTTTACTCTTACTTCCTGTCTGGCAAAACTTTGTCAGCAGGACTGGAAGGGAGGGCAACTTTCTGTCCCAGACCCCCGGATATCATTAAAAACCTGACGGGTTCTAAAGGTCTGTTCACAATTTTCCAGTGCCGGCACATTGTGGTAAAGCATGGCACCTCAACACATTAAGGCAAAGCAGCTGCAACGCACATGCTTTGCTGTGCACCACAATCAACTGCACCGCACTACTGTGCATTGTGGTGTGCTGCGTTGCCAAAAATATTGCATTTCCATCTTTTTGGATGTTTTGGTACATTGCCAGCCCATGTATTTGAATGGGCTGCTTTAAAAGAGAACTGTGGGGTAACCTTTTTATACCATAGTTCTATTTAGGGTCACAGGAGGACATATACTAACATCCTCCTGTGACCCAAAGCTCAGTATATAGCAGGCTACAGCTCGCTATATACTGAGAGGGCTGCAGCCGGGACGCATCCCGACAATACTGTCGCGATCCACCCAGCTGGCTGATTGACAGCGGGCTCTGCCTATCTAGAGGCAGAGCCACTTGTGCCCACCCCCTTTTCAATCCGTTTCTCCAGTCAGCACTGGAGGGTTAAAGAAGGGAGTGGGGGGATCCCAGTGGGGAGCTGTGACTGAAAGTCACCGAACTCTGCATCGAGATGATCAGAAGGTGAGCGAGCCATCGATGGTATGTGTTCACTCACTTCCCGATCTATAGAGCCGACGTGTGACAGTTTCATTGTCATACGTCGGTTCTAACTATGAGGATGAGTGTATATCACTCGCCTCATAGTTCTCCTTTAAAAAATTGAATGTTAGTACATGGAAAAAAACACTCGTCAAATCAACGCAGCTGGATGCCAAGGTCTGAATGGGCCTTTCACACACAAGTTTTGGCTGGATATGCACTAAACTCTGCTTGCTTACGTTTTGCAGACGATGGTGAGTATACAATTATTTGGTGTATGTATAGCCAAAACTTTTTTTAGGGAAAAGTAAGTTAATGGTCTGGTCACCATTGGGGAGATTTTCCCTTCACTTCCTGTCCTGGAGACACAACACAGCTCTCCATTTTTGGAAGATTTCCCCTTGCCTCTTGTTCTAGTGACAACTGTAATATTTTGGATTTCTCCTCATGATCTACTTTTTTTGTTTGTTTTGGATATTTTATTGTTTTATTATCTGTGTCTCCATGTTGCAGATAGCTCTTCACTTCCTGTCAGTTTGACAGGATTCAGACAGAACAGGATGTTTTTTTTCTAATTCCTTCTAATGTATCTGTCCTTGCAGGTATGAGGCGGTGCATCCGGTCAGGAACTGGACAGATATGAAGCGTAGAGTGGGACCGTACAGGAGATGCTTCGCCTTTACCCACAGCTCAATGCCTGGGGAGCCTCTCATTGTGTTACACGTCGCTCTGATGCAACATATTACAGGCAACATCCAGGTGAGTCCACCTGACCCTCAGAAAGCTTTGTTGTGCCTGGCTGAATGGACAAGTTTTATTTAAAGGGCATGTAAACCCTAATAATGAACTTCTCTTATCTGGTCCCTATTGGTCTGTTATACACCGATCAGCCATAACATTAGGACCACAGAGAGGTGAAGTGAATAACATCTTGTTACAATGACATCTGGAAGTGGGGGGGATATATTACAATGGCACGTGGCAGTGGGGGGATATATTAGGCAGCAAGTGAACATTTTGTTCCTGAAGTTGATGTGTTGGAAGCACAAAAAATGGACAAGTGTTAGGATTTGAGTGACTTTGACAAGGGCCAAATTGTAATAGCTGGACGGCTTGGTCAGAGCAACTCCAAAACAACAGCTCTTGTGGGATTTTCCCGGTCTGCAGTGGTCAGGACCTCCCAAAAGTGGTCCAAGGAAGGAAATCCGGTGAACCGGCGACAGGGTCATGGGCGGCCAAGGCTCATCGATGCACATGTGGAGCGAAGACTGGCCTGTGTAGTCAGATCCAATAGAAGAGCTACTGGAGCTCAAATTGCCGAAAAAGTAAATCCTGGTTCCAATAGAAAGGTGTCTGAACACACAGGGCATCGCAGTTTGTTCCGCATGGGGCTGCATAGCTGCAGACCGGTCAGGGTGTCCATGTTGGCCTGTGTCCACCATCAAAAGCACCTACAATGGAAACGTGAGCATGAGAACTGGACCACGGAGCAATGGAAGAAAGTGACCTGGTCTGATGAATCATGTTCTCTTTTACATCATGTGGACGAACGGGTGTGTGTGGCTTATCTGGGGAAGAGATGGCACCAGGACGCACTATAGGAAAAAGACAAGCTGACGGAGGTCCTGCCACCATGTGGATGGTACTTTGACACATACCACTGACCTAAACATTGCTGACGACCAAGTACACCCCTTCATGGAAACGGTATTCCCTGATGACAGTGGCCTCTTACAGCAGGATAATGTGCTCTACCACACTGCAAAAATGGTTCAAGATGGTTTGAGGAACACAACAACGAGTCTGAGATCTTGACTTGGCCTCCAAATTCTCCAGATCTCAATTCAATCGAACATCTGTGTGATGTGCTGGAAAAACAAGTCCAATCCATGGAGGCCTCACCTCGGAACTTACAGGACTTAAAGGACCTGCTACTGACTGCTTGGTACCAGATACCACAGAATACCTTCAGAGGTTTAGTGGAGTCCATGCCTCGATGAGTCAGGAAAAAGGGGGACCTACTCAATATTAGGTGGGTGGTCATAATGTTATGGCTGATTGGTGTATATGCAATTTAAAATGGTTTTATTATATCTGTATGATAAGCGCAAACAAAACAAAAACCTGTTGATCCTGCCAAAAAGCTCATACGCTGAGAACTTCCTGTACACTCTGCATGTTCTGCAAGCTTGTAAGCTATCTCTGAGGACTACAAAAGGGGGGGATGTTCCGTTTTAGGGTGACATCGCGGTGTCTCGCCATAAATGCAGAGCAGTGAGCGTTGTCGCCCTAGGACAGGAAGTGTGTTCCTGGCAGAATCGCCATGTGAAAATAAAGGGGAAAAAAGACTGAAAAAAATAAAACTAATGCAGCCACCACATCGAAGGACAGGTAAGCTGCAATGTATCACATTTGTGTTCTTGGTTTTAGGTGCACTTTAAATTGTGTGTGTATATAGATCTATATGTGTGTATGTAATATGTGTGTGTGTATATATATAATATATATATATATTCGTGTTTTCCCCGAAAATATGACACTGTCTTATATTTTTTTTGGCTCAAAAAAACACACTAGGTCTTATTTTCGGGGAGGCTGCCGCTGGCTTCATTGGCACCATTGATCTCTCTCCCGCGGCTCTATAATTGTTTAACCATTTCACACCCTTTTTATCACATACGAAAAAACTAAGTTTTGTCTTTATACATACTTTATCCTTTGGCAGTGCTATGCCTTGACGTAGGAAATCACAAGTCACAACAGTCCTATAGGATCACACGCCTGCCTCAATCTGGTTTTCATATATAAACTTTGTTACCAGAACTGCTTGGAAAGCGCACATGTGTCACAAAGGTGTTAATTTGCTGCACGGAAATATCAATGGGATTACTCTTTCTTTCGAAAGCTTTTCTTCTTCTCCATCAGAAACGATTACCTATTCTAACAAAGGGGTTTAATTGTCTAAAAATGAATTGTCGGCTCACACTGCAATTATACCAGCAGGGTACCCATGGATAGCAAATGCCACTCCAGCCTCTGATTTTTAAAAGGACTCGTTGCAAATAATGAGAAGAAAAGGCTGCTAATTCATCGAGCTAAGCGTCAGACATCCTGGAAGTTGGAGCAAGTCAGCCCTTCACGTGCTGTGCCGTACCCGCTGTGCAGATTGGACCCACGGAGCTACTAAATGTCTCCCCGTGTCATATTAGAATGGAAGTTGTGACCTTTTTCCAAATGCAAAGATCTGAAGAGGAAAACTTTGTGATTCATGACTCGCTTCTGACAGATGTTTAGAGAGTAAAAATAACGATGGGAGCAAAGCCTGGATCCTTTCACTTCTAATCAGCAGAAGAATTCATTTTGTACATTGTATAGTTTTGATGCCTGTAAACTCTTTAGGTCCCGGAGAGAGTGCTGTGGTACAGGAACAAGAATTCCAGTGACATAAGGTATCTGATGGACAAAACGCATTTACTTGGATTTACGTCTTAAAGTGACGTTAAAGGCAATTTTTTTCCACCTCCCAATGCTAGTGTAAGGATTTACTTTAAATGATGCCTCCTTATCCGATCATCTTCTTTCCTGTAGTTTTCAGGAGTTCCTCCAGCGCTGGTACCGGTCTCTGACTCCTCTCTCTTCCTGGCACTTCCTGTCCCATGGAGTCTGTGCGGGTTCCCGCTGCCTCCATTGACTTACCTTGCGTCTCTTCTCATCTCCCGGCTAAAGATCTGTAGTGTGCGTGCGCCCGCCCCATGATCCTTTGCGGCCGCCCGAGAATCTTCAGATCTTCGGACAGGAATGCGCGGCGGAGACCAAGGTAAGTTTAAACCCCTTTTGTTAACTTTTTTTAATGTTTTTGCTAGGGATGCACCGATGCCAAGTACCGTGCTCGGTACAAGTACAGATACTTTTCCAGCTCCAAGACTAGACAAGAGAAAAATTAAAAGTTAGGAAGCGGCTGTCATTTGTAAGGAGCCTACGGAGCTCCTGGGATTTGTACCTCTCTGTTTTAATGTATGATTTTGTTTTTATAAATATATATAGGTGATACCATTTTTACAAGTACTGATACTTGCCCAAGTACTTACAGATACAAGTACTGATACATTTTTGCTGTCATGTGACTGTTTTTCTAAATCAAGACAGTGGTGGAGCGCCAGAGCCAGGTCCCAGCTGCAACCTCTGCAACCCTGGTAGTTCTCATGAAAATGCCAAGTATCTGCACTGGTATCTGGACATTCCTAGTTTTTGCATATATCTACTGCTTGCTATGCAGTTTAATAATCCTTTAAGGCATTTAAAGCGCAAGTGAACTCAAAAAGTGAAGATTTCCTTTTTTATAGGGAATCATCATCGTAAGGGTCAGCAGTAACCTGATAGATCTTCCTTTTTGTCTTGAATTCCTTCTGAAAAATACCAATGCACTTCTTGTGCCTAGGCACTCTTGTTCTCTAGCCTAATATCTGTATATCTGCAGTTGGAGATCATTTAGGGCACTGCTGCCTCGGACTGTTAGTCTCATCAGATTTGGAGTGAGATTTGGTGCTCTCACTGTTCTCCTTGCTGGGGGGAAACTGTACCTGAGAACCTGCAGTGCCAGGATCTCCCTGCTTCATTCATTCTTCGAATCTTGGCTTCCTCCACCTCTCCTGTTGTTGCTTCTTGGTCATTCCCCCACCAGTCATCAGGGGGGGCAACTCTAACGTGAGGAAAGCCCTGCTTTTAGCAAGATGGCCGCTTCCACACAGAGACACAGTGGAGAGCAAGGCATTTTAAGTCCATAATGGGGAAAAGATCAGCAGCGGGGGACTATAGACAATATTGTAGACTCATTCTTTATCCAGAGTTCAGGTCCTCGTTGGAGCTCTAGGGAAACATACAAATAAATAACTATACAGCGGAAATACATATGCATGGACTGTTTCCTCCGATCTGATCTCTAAATGTGTTCAACCAAGGCTTGTGATCCTGTTAGGTCTGTGACCTCACTTTTCTCCACTACAGTTAAGCAGCAAAGCCTGGGCACTGAGTTGCCCCCAGACTGTGATTGCTTAACGAAGGAACAGCAGCACCCTCTGCTCTCTCCTCCTAGAAGCATGTTTAAAAGTCGGCTGTATGTTGACTGAAAGCACAGTGCAAAGCAATAGAGCTGTGATTGCTTAGCCGGGGTTTAGCCCAACCAAAATATAATTTTAGGGTGGACCTTCTTTTTTTTTTTTTTGTGTGTGTGCCCATTAATGGAGAACTATGGGGTTAAAGCTTTTCCCCATAGTTCTCCTTAGGGTAACGGGAGGACACAAACTAGCGTCCTCCCGTCACCCTAGGCTCCGTATACCGCCAGCTGTAGCCGAAGCTGACGCGGATCCTGACAATTATGTCTGGATCCGCCCAGATCCGTGACTGACAGCTGGCTCTTCCTATCTAGAGGCAGAGCCAGCTGTACCCGCCCCCTGCCCCGTCCGTTCCGCCAGTCAGCGCTGGCGGATCGGAGCTGGGAGGGGGAATCCAGCCCCTCCCCTGTCACGGCAGAGAGCCGCGACAGGATCGAGAGGGGAGCGGATGCCGGGATGTGTTCGCTCACCTCCCGATCTACTGAGCCGACCTGTGACAGTTTCATTGTCACAGGTCGGCTAGAACTATGAGGGGAGTGAAAAGCGCTCACCTCATAGTTCTCTAAGGATGGGTTTAGACTGCCAGCAAGACAAAGGTACATTCTATTGTCTCAGAACATAACAGCTACATGGTCAAAGTAGGTCATCTGTGGTTTAAACAGGGTGGACCTTTTTTTTTTAACCAGTTGCAGTTTAATTTTTTTAACATATCTATCTTGAAAATGTTACTGTTTTGATAGCTGTGTGGTTGATTTAAAGACAGTCCAAGCCGTCCATAAAGGGTGACTATGATCGGGATTGGCACATAGTATATTGATCCTAGCGGTGCCTGTACACTTCAGCTTTTGAATGTAAAAGAGTTTTTCCTGCATTGAAAGAAAAAAAAATACACATAGATTTGCAGTCAGCGGACTGAGGAGGGCGCTGAACCTTTCCTAATAGATGTTCTTTGGATCTTTATAGAGGAACTTTCCCATGCTCATGTTTCCTGCTTATATTTGTATTCTCTTTTTCTCCAGGCAATTGTAAAGGAGATTCCCCCATCGGAGATTGAAGATGGAAGCAAGGTCAAGTCCGCTATATTTTACTCTATAAGCTCAACCCAGCAAGGCCTGCAGGGCGTGGAGCTCGGCAACTACCTCATCAAGCGGGTAGTGAAAGAGTTACAGGTGGGTAAAACAGTCCTTACTTTTAAAGTGGACTTCTGCACACATGCTAGGATGGATAAAAGAGTAATAAAAGGGCTTATAGTTTATCTCCGGGAAAATCATTTTTGTAAGGTATATAAAAGTAACTCTGGAGCTGTAAAGAAACTGGGAAGTGCATATTTGTCTGTCTGTCTTTAGTCAAAAACAGGCAGAAGCTGAAAGCGGAATTCCAGCTATATGCCCACAACGCCAATAATATATTGTTGTGGCCTAACAACACACAGCATTCACGTAGACCAAGTAGTTTCCACCCTGACATGATGTCTTGCTAAACGATTAAAGCCCTCCCACTGTCCTCATCACCTCGCATGCTTGCCTCCAGGATTTCTCCAGAGTGTCTCCCATCCTCTGGAACTCCACACCCTACTCTCCTACTCTGTCCACCTTTTTAGGCCAGTGGTTCTCAAACTGTGTAACCTCAGGACCCACATTTGTCCTCGATCATTAAGTCGCGACCCAAGTTGCACTGCAATCGAATGCACAGGAGTGTGGGCTACTGTGCTGTGATGGAGCTCCATCCGTATATACATTGCTTGTACAGCTCCCGTGCGCACCCTGTAGAGGTTCCGGGAGCCAGAATGTGATGTCGCTCTGGTCCAGGCACCTCTGCAGGACATGCGAGGGAGCTATAAGCATTGCTTGTATGGATGGAGCTCCCTTGCGGCCATACCCCCAGCCCACCCCACCCCACCTTAAGTCAACACTCTGAGCCAGGCAGCATATTTTGAATGGCTGCTCAGTGTAAGAATGGACAGTGCTGCGCTAGGGGGAGGCTGGGGAACCTTTCACCTAGAAAAGTGGAGGGCATGCGGTGACCCACTGAACACAGAGTCGTGACCCACTTTTGGGTCACGACCCACCAGTTGAGAACCAAGGTTTTAGGCGATCCTTGAAAACTCGACTCTTCATGGAGGCCTATTCCACCTTGAATGAACAGTACTTTCAGTTCTTCCATTAAATCATCCCAAATAAGTATTCCCTTTTGTGTCACTTGCCCCTCCTACTAGATTGTAAGCTCTCAAAAGCAGGGCCCTCCTACCTCCTGTACTGAAATTGTATTGTTAATTGTATTGTCTCCCTCAGTTTTGTAAGGCGTTGCGCAAACTGTTGGCGCTATATAAATCCTGTATAATAATAATAATACTTTGTTCTGTAGTTCAAGATTGGAACTAGGAGGGCTATTTAGATTGCTTGAGATAACACAGGAAGTGTGTATAGGAAAGCTCTGAATTTCTTGCATGATCAATAGGTATTTTCCTCCCCTGAGATGATGTGCATGGTCACATGTCCTAGTCACATGTCTAGTCACATGTGTAAGAAGTCCAAGAAGTAGAAGGAGAGCTAGTAATCTGCCCTTAATAAACATGGCTACTGTCAGAAGCCTGGGGAAGAAAAGAGAAATAAGGTATGCAAAGAATACAAAGCCGGTGTTGTATCCAGATGTCCAACTCGTCGAGATCTCCATCTGCCGTCAGTCCGCCTGCGTGGCCACCTAAGAGCAATATCAGGGTCTCTAATTTGCGTTAGTGCGCCTGCGCAGGCATCCGATGGCACAAGCAGTGTTTCCAGTTGGAGAACTTGATGAGGATTGCGAGGCCACACAGGCGCACTTAGGGCAATTGGGCAAGCCGTCGAGGCTTGTAAAAATGCCAGGGCTGGCGCACACGCACTGGCACTATCTCGTCGGAATCTCCACCGGATGTGACGTTACGAGTTGGAGATCTCGACGAGTTGGCCACTTCGACAGAACACCGGCAATTATCTAGAAGTATCTGTTTGTAGATTGTCAGCACTAAACATTTCTAAAGGTGTGTTTGTTATTTTAAATATATGGGTGAAGGTCCGCTTTTAATATAAACAAAGTAAAATAAATGGCAAAGCACTTTCCCCGTTTAGTATAAGTATGGAATATTTGTTTAAGCTTTGTATGTAAACAACAATGGCGCTGGTTTGGAAGATCATTTAACAAAATCTATTTGTATGAGGTTTTATACAATGACTGTAGAGGGGAATGTTTCTTTATTATTTGATTGATTGGAAACAGTCACAAAGAATAGACATGAAGAAGATATAAACAACCTGCAGAGGAGATTGAAGTAGCTGAAGCTCAGTTATTGCTAAAAGTCATTTACAACCCACGCAATGTAGACTGCATGTCAGATTATTCTATAGCTGAGGTATGATTATTGCAGCAATGAGATAAAGAAAAAAACAAACCGCCCCAGTTGCCGGCTACTTGCTAATGCACACGGTATATTCTGCAGCACTTATGTGTAATGATACGAGTCTGCACAGGGAATACACGGGTAGAACATTCTGGCCATAAACGGGGATGAGTGTGCTCCAGAGGACAGCAGTGTGAGAGTGAGACTTTCTTGTGTATACCCTGTGCAGACCAGTATCATCACCCAAGAGATGAACAGAGCACTGTGTGGGTGAAGTACCAGTGTCCATCTAAATTGCATCTCCACCTTTAGTGAGAAAAATAAAAACAGGTCAGCTATGTACACTGCAGATCCTTAGATCATTACCTGCTTCTCTTCTGGTGATATTGATGTAAGCCTTAAAGGAGAACTATGGGGTCAGTGTTTTTCCCCATAGTTCTCCTTAGGGTAACGGGAGGACACAAACTAGCTACAGCCCGCGGTATACTAAGACGCCGGGGCGGATCCCGACGTAGATGACGGGATCCGCCCAGCTTTGTGAGTGACAGCTGGCTCTGCCTATCTAGAGGCAGAGCCAGCTGTACCCGCCCCCTCCCCTGTCCGTTCCGCCAGTCAGTGCTGGCAGATCGGAGCGGGGAGAGGGCAATCCAGCCCCTCCCCCTGTCACGGCAGAGAGCCGTGACAGGATCGAGAGGTGAGCGAACCTGGTATGTGTTCGCTCACCTCCCGATCTAATGAGCCGACCTGTGACAGTCTCATTGTCACAGGTCGGCTAGAACTATGAGGTGAGTGGAAATCACTCATCTCATAGTTCTCCTTTAACAGTGTTCTTGCTGAAATTATCTGCAAGCCAGAGGCTCTGCTTTTAACAATCACTGGGTTAAGGTGCCCGTACACCTGCCGATTTTCGTACGATAATCGGCAGGTGTATGGAAGGCGTGCGATTGTTTCTACTGTACGGTCGCACGTTTTTTGTCTTCCGAGCACGCTGGAAAACCTGCCGAAAATCCGAATAGTTTTCAAGCGGGTTAGTGGCGTGATCGGAAGACAAATGCCGAACAGGCCGGTGTGCACAAGCGCTCACTGCCCGTTCAGCATTGCAGTCATAGGAAGCCCTCTCCTCAGCGGGGCGGGCTTGCGATGATCGCAAGTACGATCTGCCTGTCCAAGATGGGCAGATCGTACGAGCTTTTAATTACCTTACAACCATCTCACGATGAACGTCGTGGGATGGTTGAAAGGTGTATGGCCAGCTTAAGGCCTTGTTCACACCAAGCGCGTTCCAGGAGCAGAGCAGTTACAGACCGGAGCAAAACTGCGTCCAATGTATTCCAATGGCATTTTTAGCTCCAGTTTACATCGCAGCGTTCCGTTCCAGAGCAGGTAAGAAAACTGCAGCAGGCCCCATTTTACCTGCTCTGGAACGCATGCAAACGCCCTGGAACGCACTAAAAGCCCATTTTAAACGTAAAAAAATAAAAAAAAAATTTGTTTTACCAAAAACAGCCCGAAACGTGGCAAAAACACGGCACAGCCCACTGCACTGCGTGTGCAGAAACTCATGCAGATCTGCTCTGCATTTGGCGTGAACAAGGCCTAAGGCTGGGTTCACACCTGGGTGTACGGAATATGCGCGTTTCGGGTCGCGCCTTTTTACCGCGATTTGCGGTAAAAGAAACACGCGTTTGGGCTATCCGGCTGTATCCTAATGGATACGGGCTGCAAATACGCCCCAAAGAAGCTCCTGTACTTCTTTGGGCGTAGGGCGTTTTAGGAACGCGCTGTAAAACGCCCAGGTGGGAACCATGCCCATAGGCAGTTATTGTTTCTCACATGTTGAGCGTTTTACAGCGCATAGGGACGCGCTGTCAAACGCCCATGTGTGAACCAGGCCTAAGTCTTAGCCCTCGTTCACACCTGAACGTTTTGTAGCGCATTCTACGCTCGACGAACGCTCTACAAAACGCTCAAAAATATAAATCCCATTGTATTCAATGGTCTCGTTCCCACCTTGGTGTATTTCCGCCCCTCCCTAACGCGCTACAAAACGCCCCACGCCTGAAAAGGTACATGTACTACTTTGGGCCATTCTGCGTTTGTCGCGCAACTTTTTTAACGCGAATCGCGGTAAAAAAACGTGCGACGGTTGCACATATGCAATACGCCTAGGTGTGAACGAGACCTATGGCCTGTCAGCCTGGGCTTTGGTTTTGATTCTCTCTCCAAACAAGTCAGTGCAAAAGCAGCTTGAAGCAGGTCAAAGCCACCTGTGAGGGAACTCAGATGGAACTTGGAAGACTCTCAAACTGATCTCAAATGCTAAATTCAGCTAAAAGCTCTCTGCATTTGACCATCGACACAGGTGTTGTTGTTATTAGGGAAAAAAAATGCAGCCAAGCAGGAGGATGGCCATCTTTTATGCAGCTCTGACTCTTGCAGACTCTCCTCTAGCATAGATACTGGTGTTTTGTCTCTCTCATTGCATTTCTCCGTCTTCAGCGTGGCTTTTTTAGTATTTATAATCGTGCTGTCAGTACTACTTTGCTACAAACCTGAGACATATTGGTGGTAGGAAGAGGCTTCCTGGGATGTCCTTTTTTGTTTGTTTGCCAGTGTCCAATCCTTGCAGTGGAACGCAACGCTGGCAAAGTCTTGCCACACTTTCGATCGCACTGCGGGCCGTGGGGCGTGGAAGCGGTGCCATTGAATTCAATGCACCGCCACGCCCCCCTCCCGGCCCAAAACGCGGGCAGAGTTTCTTAGCGATCGCCGTGCGTTCCATCAGCTACCGCTCTG